AAACCTATTTGGGTTTGCTTTCTGCTCTCCAACCCATCTGTATTTTTTGTGGTTTGACGATATATATATTAAAAGACAAGAAAATCAACTCTGCTCACTATTAAAAAAAATATTAAATCCACCTTTTACGTTTCCAGAGAGAAAGAGAAGGAGGGGAGTGGGAGGAAAACAAATTAAAATGAAAAAAATAACAGGAAAATCAAAACCTTCTGTCTCTTCAAAGTAGTTGTCAAGAGCTTTAAACACTTGTGCTTTCAGTGTACACCCCACAGGAAAAACAACAAAAATAACAACAACAACAAAAAAAACCCCAAGGACCTAAAATTAAAAAAAAGAAAAAGGTAATAATAATCCTAGTAGTAAAAAGGACAGCAAATTGCTCAGAGTTTGTGTGTCTTTTTAGTTATCTTAGCAGCCGCCCTTTTTGTCTGCAGAGGGAGAGCTGCCACCACAGCCACCTCCTCGGCTTGAGAGAGGCTCTTCTGCATCATCCTCGTCAAAGCCATGAAAGGTCGAGGTGTCGCTTTCTGACGTGGAACCGAACAAGTCCTCCGTAGTGCGTGCTGGCGCTGCTTCGTCCCTCCTGCCTTCTCTTCCCAAATGAGCTGACATGTATGATGAATATATCAGCACATGGGTTAAGCAACAGGCATCATCATCATAATTTTTTTAATCATTGTTATTATTAAACAATTCAGACTATCGAGCTCATAGGTATGTGCTTGTATGTGCCCGTGCACCTCAACAACATAGCTCAGTAGAACTACAGTAAGAAAAATAAAAAAGGATCAGTTTCTCTTTCAAAGAAGAAAATCTACAAACAACATAGGTGCCCATAGATACGGCAGCGAAAGGGTTAATCATGTTTTCCTCTCTTCAAAAGACATTAGAATATTTCCTCATGATTACTTAAATCAATTCTAAAAGATTTTTAGACCGTATAAGTAATTAGACACCGTTAGCTCTAAGCACAATCACTGTCCTTCAGGCTGGCATCAACTGTCATAAATTTACTGCTATAGAACACTAGATAGTTCATCAACCTCGGGACTATTTTTTATCTCTGTCCTTCACCTGATCCTAAAGAGCCTCCTCTGTAGACAAAATGAAGTATATTTTGAAGACTAAGTGAAAGTAACCTAAACAAATGCTTTTATTCCAATTTCATGGCATCTCCTTCAAAAATACCCCCCCCACAAACAAATATATACAGTTCAGCAACTAAAACAACTAAGATGAGAAGTGACCTGTCTTGGGGAACACCAAAAAGTTCAAATGTGTGTGAGTCAATCCAACTTTCAATATGGAACAGGAAATTCTCCACACAGGACATCAATAGCAGCAGCAACAACAACATCAACAACAACAAAAAGAAGACTCTTAAAAAGGGAAGTCAAATACTGAAACCTGAGAAACTGAGGTTTATTTTCTCCCTCAGTCAAACATGTTATGTGATTAATAGTATAGCCTTCAAATTCTCTCTTCAGGAAAGGTAGAGAAAAAGATGTCTCTTGTGCCCCAGGAAAATGAAAGTGTGAGATTTTAGGGAACAGCTATCTTATTATTCAGAAACAGTAGCATGGTATTAAGTAACCAACTATTTGGTCCCCACTCCAGCTACAGGAATCAGCCATATAACAAGTACACTGCATTGCTTGAGACACGAAGAATTAAATCCTGTTCACAAAAAGAAAATGGATATAACAAAATTATTGGCAGATGAACCACCTTGTAGAGATGTGATTTTACTGACTTTATGAAACAATATAATTTCCATGACCTCTCTTTCAGTATAATGAAAATGTTCTCCATTATCAAGAAAGAGAAAGATGGCAGCCACCAAAGAGGTTTCAATGTTTTAGTTTAGAGATTAGTGTGTGGTTGTACCTTAATCACTTTCATCACACATCAGTCACACCATTGCAGACCCCTATGAATGACCCAGGTGGGTCAGAATTTGTACAAGGATAGCATTTAATGGAACTGATTTTGCACAATTTAGGTTACATGCCGATCTACTTGTTCTATCACACTAAGGAATCAAGGGAATTAATGTATTTGTCTTACATTCTGATATAATCACCATAGCAATGTTTAAATAGCGAAAAAATATGGATCCGTCTCACTGTGCCGTATCAGGACAATGCTGAAACTAGTTATATTGAACTATAACAGTCAAGGGGAACAGCAATGGTTTTCCAAGATGGCATCACAGACCACATGAGCTTCCCCCTTCAATTATTAAGAAGCAAACACGTATACACTAAAAGGTCCATGCTCCTGACTGCACAGCATTTGTAAGAACGCCCCTGGAGAAAACCGAAGGGGTTGCCATCGGTCCTCTGGTGACCAGTCAGTATCACTTCACAATGTCTTCAAAGGTCACAACTGCAGAAGGCAATTTGTCAATGAGAGTCTAGTCCTGCTCCCACTGAATGTGGTAAGAGGCTTACTATGAATTTCAGCGGGAGCATAAAAAGGCCATTCCCTTGGCACGAGAACACATTTCAGCCATCATGCAACAGACATCTTTCAGTGATTACAGTACAGAAGCAGCAGCAGCGATACTGAAATTCAAGGTCTCTTTGGTTTTCAGATTTCCATGTGATGGTCTTATCACTGCTAGTATCACCACTGTCCAGAAATATCACAACTGGAAACTTGGACCGAAGCTGGAATATGCAGTTGTTAAAGGTTTCCCATTCCCTCTACCACCGCCACCACCTCCCATGTGAGCCATAAATAACTGCTCAGCTGAGATAAAATTTCCCAAAAAAAGAGAAAGAAAGGGGAAAAAAAAAAGAAAGAAAGGAAGGAAGAAAACAACAGTCCCAAAATAAAGACAACTCAGAATGGGAAAGACACAATTGCCTACATTTAAAAAGAGAGAAGGGAAGAAAACGGAGAAATAAAAACCTCTTTAAACAAAATTAATGATAGTCATCTTGTAAGAGGATAATTCTTGACAGCTATCCCCATCCCTACCCTGTAATTTCCTCCCTCTTCCTTTTTTGGATGAAGAAATGCATGAAATGTGTAATCAATGGAAATGCTTGTCATGCAACTTTCATAAATCTTGTAAGTAATTTATAGTTTTAACTGCAGCATTTGAAGACAGAGCCCATTCTTTAACATTGTCACAGGATTTTCTCCTTCCATTTGAAGAACAACTAGTACATGTACCAATGTTCACAGAAGCCAATAAATACATTAAAACTTTATTATTTCGTAGGACCTCATCGGCATTTTTAAAATGTGAATCCAACAATGGGTTTTATGACAGAAAATTTCGCAGTCATCCTTTCCCACAAACACAGACAAGAGGTAAACCTTATCTTCTATACCCTCCCAAATGCACTGCCTTTCTTCAAAATCTTCAGAAAGAGCAAAGAACAAATCACAAAAATGCCTTTGTACAAGAAACTTGCAAGAAGGAGTCACCTACCAGAGCGCCCACAGTCTGAGCATGATACAAGTTCCTCAGGCCGGCCACTTTTTTTGTTCATATTGGAGCCTCCAAGGCAGAAGTCACAGTAGTTATTGGGAATGATGACCCCGTCTGGTCCTTTCTGGGCTGCAGTCGGGTTAGAAATCAGATTTACTTAAAGAGCATTCAATTTGGACATTTCCCCCTTCTCCGTGATACCATGTTAGCTTGGTGAGTTTGCAGGCCACAGTCTTCCCAAAATATTGTCAATTAGAACAAAAAGTGAAGTCACCTCCATTTTAAGTACACCCTGTGTTGTACATATTTTGCCTGAAATGCACTTCACCGTTTCCTTTATAATGCCAGCTGGGCCAGTCCCTCAGAAAGACCTGCTGCCAGAGGTCCCTGTACAGTTCAGGGACTTGATAACACGCACAGGCATAGAAACAGTGCCTAATGCAGAATCAGACCTGTGCTGTCAGTGAGCCAAGCCTGTTTTTTCAGACAGCAATCATAATTGCAAACCCACAAAATACAAATTCAGAAAGGAAAAATACATTCCCTAAAACTCAAAAACCAACAGCAAGGAGATGGGGGGATCGGTACCCTAACTGGTTTTATTTCAAGCAGCTTTTTTGGGGAGTACATCTCAAAGTGGCGGGGTGTCCTTAGTCAAGAAGTTGGTTCAAATGCCCATGAATATTCACAGGTAAAGCCACTTGTGGGTGGTTCACCCAAGGGTTAAGCTACCTGCAGCAGAGTGCATGTCCCCTGGGAGGAGCGGGGAGGGCAGCAGGTCCAGCACTACCCCAGCACCCACCACAGGTACAAAGAGTCAGCCTGGGGCAGACGTCCTAGCTGGCAGAGCTAAAAACTCCTTCAGCCAAGAAAAAAGGAGGGAAATCACATTCTTATTTTCCAGCTAGGAATAGGGGAAGGAACAGACACACACTGAGCATTTAATGCTCAGAGGAGGAGGCAGTTCCCCTAGATGGGAAAGAAGGGCAGAGGTCTTCTGCATTCGTATTAGTTGAGCAGAACAGCAATGTGCTTTTTTTCTCTCTCACAGCTGCCATTTTTCTCCTCTGCTCTCCAGAGAGGGAAAAATTCTTGTTCCTGCACACTCTAACTAGGAACTGGGGAAGGGAGAGGGGAGCGGGGGGAATGGTTGGTCTTTGTCTTTGTTTCTCTTTTTTTTAACTTAAAAATACCAGTGGTATACCTGGCCTAGTCCTACCCCATGAAGATTTCTACAAACTAGAAAATGAAGACCTTTAAACTGTACCATCTATATTTAATTATCTTTTTAATGCATATTTTGTAACTTGCAGATTTTTAACAGATGTTTTGACAGACTTTATTAATGGTCTTCTTGTCCACATCCAAATTTCCCCCAAAGAACAATGACATTCTAAAGGGCTTCTGGTAGCAGTCCAAGACATACACTTAAAATTAAAATTTCCTCTGAGTTCAGTTTGCTTTTCTGGTTTGGGTGCATCTAGATACTAATTTACTTCCAGCTGTTGATTAGCTGAGCTTTTTGGAGATTGGTAACTGAAAGATGGCAGGTAAGGTGAAATGAAGAAAAAAATTAAACCCCATAAGGCTGCAAACACATCAATATCTTCCTGCATAGTCGCTGAGTCCCTGACAGTATTTACTTACTAAACAATGGGCTTTGCTCTGAAATGGTCCTGGTTAGCAGATCCCCAGTTCTCCCCAAACCAGAGAGAAGCTCCCAGTGTTTGGTTAGTATTTTGCCTGTTTGCAGAGGGGCATTTAATACGTTCATGCAAGATAAGCAAAAAAGAACAGGAACCAGGTGGAAGCCTAGCATACCGGATCATTTTAAGAGCTGTAACAAAATGATCATAAAGTTGCTACTTGTACATATTTTGTGCATAAAAAGCAGATCTCCCTAGCATTTATTTTTCCCACTACAGCCCCATTCTGAAAAAGTTAAGTAATTACTTCTTTATATTGCGCTGCATCTACAGACAAGCCATGTGCAATGCAAACTCAGCAAGCTCAATCTTCAGTGACTTTTTTTTTTGTTCCTTATTATGTTACTTCACCTTTCTTCCAAGTTTCTTAAAGTGCCTTACATATCCTAAGGTGCTAATATTAACCCTCAATGAGGTCAAAAGTCTTTTACCATTGACTCTAACCAAAATGTTGCTGGGCCCTAATTAAATCTCATGGTGAGGAGGCAGCATTGCATTTTACAGCTGAAAGACTTGGAGGTAGAGCGATGAACTGGCTTACTCACAAACACACAACAATTCTGTGGTGAGGCCACAAATAAAAATAAGCATTCATGGTGCCAGCCAGCGGACTTAAGAAAGAACTCTGCTTCCACTACCGCTCAGAATGGTATAATTGATTTAATACTCTGCATATATTCACTTAAATTTTTCCAGTGCAGCTTATGACCCTAAGATCCACTGACTGTGAAGCTGGAAATGGGACAGGGGAGCTTGTGAAAATACATATACTGATTAATTCGTCTGCAGTGCGTGGGACAGGTGGAGTGTATTCGCTGACTGCGATGAAGCTGAAGGGATTCTCCTAGACTACTGGCAAGGGAATAAGCATGGGTTTTGATCACCTCCTTTTTCTTTTCTTTTCTTTTCTTTTCTTTTCTTTTCTTTTCTTTTCTTTTCTTTTCTTTTCTTTTCTTTTCTTTTCTTTTCTTTTCTTTTCTTTTCTTTTCTTTTCTTTTCTTTTCTTTTCTTTTCTTTTCTTTTCTTTTCTTTTCTTTTCTTTTCTTTTCTTTTCTTTTCTTTTTTCCTTTCTTTTTCTTCCAATTTAATTTAATTTTTCATGTGAGTGCCTATCTGCTCATCTATTGCTTGTCACTCATAAATATGGACCTGGCTCAGTTGAGTGTGATAGAGACGTCAGGCCTGAAAAGTCATACACAGATGAAAAGTTCCTGAAGTTACATCAATGATGTCTTAAATGATGTATCTCTAGAGCCAATTAAGCCAGGCAATGTTATCCTCTTCAATGGTTATTTGGTTTAACAGGTGCAAAAACTAGAATCAAACATGACTCAAGTTTATTTTCTTGATCAGTGCTGTACAGTGAATTAAGCCCCAGGCTAAATCACAGAAGGTTTGAGAACAAAGAGATTTCCAGATGACAGTAAGTAGGGTTCTTACTTTCAAAGGATTTTTTTGTGTGTATGCCCTTGAAGCTTTTAATTCTATTTTACTGTGGTTCACAAATGATGAGGGAATTAATAAACAAAGCAAAGATAACAACATATAATGTGCAATATTCATGAGAAGGGTATCATCCACCAAAAGCCCAACCCTAATCCCCCCCCTTAATCAATAAAATTACTCACAAAAGTAAGTATGGGAATGGATTCACAAGTGAAAGCAATTAAATTACTCAGGACTAACATGTAGCTGCTTTTCATCTGAGACGCAGTAATTTACTAGGTATTCACTTTTTGCACACGTTAATCACAAAGTAGAAGGTGTTAGCTTAAGCCAGACAATAGCTCAGCTAATGGGAAGTAACTCACTGCTAGCTCAGTCATTTGGATCAAGTGACTACAACCAAGAATTTTGTCTAAAAAATGTTCACCCAGAATCAGACACTGTTTTAAAGCAAAGCCTAGAAAACCAACCATGGTCTTGCCCTAACTTACTCAAAACTGCTCTGATTTTCTTTTACATTACAAAGTGCAACAACAGATCAAAAGCTCCGGGGAGCTTTGAGGAGTACTGCCTGAGCTAAGGTGTGCTCATAGGGGGTGTATTTAAATCAGTGCCTCTTGCCATTTCAACTCAGTGTTGCTTTCTAGTTTCATCAAAGGCCCTGTCTTCATCTACATCTGCCCCAAAAGAAATAGAGTATACAATTTTTTTAAATACTTTAAAAAATGGATTAAGGAGAGACACAGAAAGATCTGCACAGTTCAAATGATGGTTTCTCTGTACCTGAAGGCTGATTCGTGTGAAGACAGGATGCAGACTGAGAACGAAGTCAGTATTTCCAAATAACTTTGGTATGCACTTATTCTGAAATATATTTTTTCATCTTAGCCTAATCAAGTTAATTTCAAACTATATCAAGCTTAGCAGAATAAAGACCTATTTAAAATATGGTACCATCATTCACAGGAGTCTTCTTGCAAAATAAGTACTGTAAATTAAATAAATTCTGTAATATATCACACAGTAACTTTGCTCTGTAGACAAAACCTAAAAAGCTAAACAAATTGATTTGGTTTATATTTAAAATATCTTCTGTGCCTTCTTGATTTTGAAGGGAGGGGCTCTAAACAGAGTTCTAGCTTCCCTTCTCCCCTCTTCAAGTAATAAAAAACCTGGAAGTTATCTTCCTCATGGTTTCAGTTTAATAATAAAAGAAAGCTGCTTCTAGAGAAATAACATCAAGAAATTAGGATTTTTCTTTTCTACATCATCTCCTGGAGCCACATGACTCAGTAAGATTCTCAGTTTTCTAGCTCTCATGGCTGCAGAGAATGTCTTGAATGGAAGGCAAGTTTAGAAGCAGCAGTTCTTGTCCCTGTTTTTTAATCAGAAAACTCAGAATACATATATTTTAAATAGCTTTCCTTCAAAATGTGACCCTTAAATACATATAGACGAAACGCCAAATAAATAGAACCTTGTAGTTTTTCAATTTTCTGGTTTCTAAGAGAAGTTGTTTTGATGATTTGGATCACGATCTTTAAAAACCTGGAGCTGGAACCACTGCTTAAAAGAAAAACTGATTTCTCTGTTCCTTGATACCAAATCACAGTCACATATATTTCTTCAGTCTGTAGGTAATACAGCATAATACTTAACCACGGTTTAAGCTGTGCATCTAGGTTTGGTAGCATTCTATCCCTATTTTTTATCCTACCCACACTACTGGAAAGGCAGTGGAGAATGAGGAGTAGAGTGTGTGCCTTGCTGTCAGAGTGGGGGGCTCTGCATCGTTCATTCAAACGATTACAGTGAATTGGCTACAGTTGGACATGTATGTGCTCCCAAAGGGATTTTTCCTAGCACATTTTGTCCAGCTTTTACCTGTTTCTTCTGGGCTTGATCCAAAACCAATAAAGTCCACTGGAGGTTTTGAATTCAATTTGAAAGGCTTTGAATCAGGCCATTTACTCTGTT